AGAAAGAAAGAAAGAAAGAAAGAAAGAAAGTAAGAAAGAAAGAAAACGAAAGGAAGGCAGAGATAGACTAGCCACCACCCAGAGTGAAACAGTGGTAACTCATATTTATTACAATTATATACAGTCATATTTTATACTGGAATTCTATACATGATCACACAGATGAGCACGGTTCGCTGGGTCCTCTCGGCGAGGACGATGCGCAATAAGAGGAGGCTCGCGATGTTTGTCACTGGTTTCGAGGCTCTTTTAATGACGGGAATGGAAACCAACACCGCGGCGACACTCGAGGACCTGACGCCAGAGAACGGGGTTTCCTTTTCTCCACCCAACCGGGCCATAGACGGGAGGACGGGGAGGAGGAAGTAAGGGGGGCGGTCCCTCACACACAGGTCCCCACCCATGGGGGAAAGATGGAAATAGCTCCATTGGGGGGATTGAGCAAGGGCGCAGCTGAAGCCCCAGTGGCCACAGCCCAGCCCCCCAGGCAGGGAAGGGGGAACCGTGCCAAGCGGGGGTCTCTTTGGGCAAGATCGGGGCCCCTGGAAAGTTGCAGGCAGGTTCCCACCTTCTGATGGTGGAACAAGCAGGAAGAGGGGGAGAAAGGGGTGCAGGAAAGAGGGCAAGAGGGTGGGGTTGCCTTGAGCCTGAAATCCCCACTCTTTCGGGCACCAGCAGCTTTTCTGCAAAGAAACCAATCTGAAAGCTAAGAGCGGAAGCGAGCACCCTTTGCCCCTCCAGGCTGAACGCAATAAATAAAGAGGGTGAATGAGGAAGGCCAGAAGCCCCCAGAGATGAAGAAGGGCAGGTGGGAATGAGGGGGTCCCCACTCCGCCAATGGAAATGTTTGTGCTTGCTTAGGCAGCTGGATGGGTGGGAGTCAGTGTGGGGAAGGGGGGGGGAGATGAGCAGAGCGGCTGGCCCCACAGACGGAAGTCTGTCTGCAGAGGGACAGCGAGAGGAGACCCGGAGGGGCCGAGGGTTGGCAGTGGAGGAGAGGTGGGGAGGGAGAGGAGGGCCCATCACCTGCTTGGCGTGCGAGATCGGGGAGACCCGTGGAAGTGAGGTGAGGGAGTGATTGGAGCCTTGGTGAAGAAAGATTGAGATGGGTGGGGGAGAACAGAGAGGGCCGTGAGCGCCCCGACTAGTCAATTTCGTTCTCATTACTGGCACCTTCGGGCCTCCGCAGCTTCTCCACCTGTTCGTTTATCTGCCCGTCGCCTCCTCGCCGATCCTCTGTCTGGACATCCTCTTCATCTGGGCGGTTGTCCTCCTCTTCTTCCTCCTCCTCCTCCTCTATACGGGCCTGCTCCTCCCTTTTCTCCTCTTCCCCTTGCACCTCCATCCGCACTTGGCCCGTCAGGTCAATCATCGCCTCCCCTTCTTCCGCGGGGCTCAAGAGGTGGCAGCCCACCTTGGTCCCTTCGGGGCTGTGATTTTCCTTGACGGGCGAAGGGGAGTTGGACTCGTTGCTGACTGGAGAGATATCGCTGCTGGTGTTGTGGTTGTTGGTCACCGGATTAGAAGGGGAAGCGGGCTTCACCGGCATCTGCCAGGAGAGGATTTTGGGGGCGGATGGCGAAGGAGGAAACTGTCTTCTGGAGAAGAAAGGAGAGAAAAAAGGAGCAGGTCGACATTTTTTAACACAGAAAAGGAAATAATTTTCTGGGAGGGACGCTATGTTAGAATATTCATGACTGGGAGAGACATGGTAACAAGGTCAGCCAATGAATAGGCATAGCAACTAAGTCAACCCATGGAGCTTAAACAGATCGGCGTCTGTGCTGAGAACCGAAACCGAAACTACTCTGTCTCTGCTCTGAACTCTGAGATGAAACTAACTGTTCTCTCCTGCTTGTGTTCTGCTTGTAACTTCTCTACCGCGTGGAAAGAATCTACTATTGGTATTGTGCATTTATTCATCTGTTATTATGTATATAAAGAAGTTAATGAATCCAGCTGAATCAGTTATCTGTGTCTGCTCCCTGGATTTGATTTTTCTGCAACAAACTCTGAAACGCTATTCAATTAACTCCTACGGCTAAGAATCCAATCGCTGGAATAGTAAGTCATCTCAGGGTCAACAACACAATACGCACAGACGCACACACACACACTTCTTTTTACAGCTTCCAGGGAAGGACATTTATGGACATTTAAAAGAAAAACGCGATGTTGGAAACCGACTGCCCCTTTAAAAAAAAAAGTCTCTGACACTGGCCGGGTCCTTTCCAGATGGTGCAGAGGAAAGGAAGGGCCACTCGGCTGGAGGGCAGGAACCATAGAAACCGCTGGACAGACGAACCGTCTGAATGGATAGCAGGCAGTTTCCCGTTTGTGGGAATCCGGGGTGGATCATCTCAAAGATGCCACCTATTGGGGGGGGGGGTTGTCCTTGATTTACAACTATCTGTTTAGTGACCATTCGAATGGCGGTGGGAAAAAAAGTGCCATTTTATGATTTTTGATTAAAAAATCAGAGGCTTGGCAATTGGCCTGC